TTCCTTCCTTGTGCCTTGCCCACACAGACTGTCTGAGGAAGACTGTCTCTTTAAGAAAGGCAGTTGTATCCTATGCACTCTGGGACTCTGACAGGCGGCCCTGCCTCTCCTGCTGGGTACTTCTGGGCAGCAACCGGGACCCTCCAGGCCTCAAATTGAGTCCAGAACCTCTAGAGGAAAGGGTCATTTCCAATGGTGTGCGCACCCCAGGGGTCTGTGCCCACAGGCCTTCCCTCCCTGGAGTTCCTCAGTAGTTGGGCTCTGGCTTCCGGCCAGAAGAGGCTCATTGGTGAGGATTGAGATCAGGAGCTGGGAAAAGAAAGTTGGAGAATCGCTGGATGCGTTTGGTGAGTGTGAATGAAGTTTGTTACCTCCTGTTCCTCAGTCTGTGGAGTTTTAGAGTACAGGTCTGGAGCTAAGTTGTAGTGTTCCTTGATGGGCAGGTGTGAGAAGGAGAAAGGTGGGGGCTGGGATTCCCTTGCCTGTGGGGTACCCCTCAACACTCCTCAGGGTTGTTGTCATTCTTGAGGCAGGAAGCTGAAAGGTGCCCTCTGGATAAAGCTAGAACCGCATCTGGGGATTGGTGGTGAGGAGGGACAGAGGACAGCCTTCCTCCTTCAACACAAAGTGTGGCCAGGAAGGGCCTCAGGCTGTCTGTGGAAACGCCCAAAGGGATGTCATCTGCAGCCCCTGAGAGAAGTGCATAACCTTGTGGGTCCATCTCAGCAGGGGATTCAGACCAAGTCCTCTTCCTCCTGGGCAAGGGGACAGAGCAGGCTTGCTCCCAAAGTCCATGCTGTTCCCTTGGAGTGAGGAAAGCTGCCCATGAGCCGCAGCAGGCATTGCCATAGTGGGAGGTGGCAAGTCTGCCAAGGGCAGGGAAGAATGGGCAGTCTGTTAGTGCTGAAGCCTGGGAACATGGCCTCGAGGGGAGGCCCAGGTCGCCAGAGCTGGCATGAGAACACATGGACAAAAGGTCCAGGTCCATGCTGGGAGGATGGGACTGTGTCAGCATCCCACAGAGCAGGGGAAATGGTCCTCCAACCCCATGTCCTGGGGCAGGAGCACAGGTGCAGCTGACCTCAAAAGCCTAGGCACACCTGTGCGTGCATGCACGTGGAAGCCTGGGGCCACCAGGGGACAAGGCTGAACACAGCAGCAGCTTCTGGTCCTCCAAGGCCAGGGCTTCTCCTTCAGGGAAACCCTTCACTGGATTCTAAATTCTTTGGGTCAGGGTCTGAACCGGGGATTGGCTGAAACAGAAG